CCCGCCGCGCCCCGCCCCCGCCGCGCCCGCGAACATCTGGCCCCGCCCCTCAGGGGGCTGGCCACACCCCGCCGCGCTCGCGAGTAAGATGGCCACGCCCCCGCGCACGATGGGCACACCCCCTGCTTGCCCGCGGGCGCGCGCCGAAGGCCGGGCTGGAGATGACGCTAGGCGTAGCTACGGCGCCCCCTGGCGTACAAGAGGCCATGGGCGGCCTCCAGGACTCCAGCCCCTCCCGCTACTCTAATGGTCAAAGTCACTTGCCTGACCTTCTAGTGGGCACTTGTGTCGGTCCATTCATTAGTCACTCGGTCATCATATGCCACCGTATCCACTGCAAAGTCTGATTCTTCCAGGAGGTACCCTCCCAGAAGGACCCTAAACCAGTATCAGGCAAGGACTGGAGCTTTTGGAGGACCTTTCCTGGGGTCGCCCTCTGACTGTGCAGGTCACAGTCCAGCCTTTGAGCCCAGATCCAATTTTTTTTTTTTTTTCTTTTGGTCTTTTTGAGACAAGGTTTCACTATGGAGTTCAGATGGGTCTTCAACTCACTATTAGCCAAGATTTGTCTCAAACTTGCAGCAAACGTCCTGCCTCAGCCTCCTCCTGAGTGCTGGGATTCAAGGCATGCGCCGCCACGGGTGGCATCCAATACTTTCCAGATTAGGTATCTTTCAGTCTTTTTATAAGTCCATTCTCCCTAGAGTTTTTGCCAAGATTCTGCGGAGGGTAAAGGCATCCCTCAGTTAGATCAAAGGGAAAACTACAAGAAAGTCACACATGAAGCACTCAGAAACTGGCTAATGATCTCAGCTATTTCTTGAGGGTCTAATTAGGCGAATATTATAATTTGCATTATTATGCAAATTAATTCTCATGGAGGTAGCTATCATTTATCTTATCACCAGTTCTTCCTCACACTTTAAGATGGGTGATGGTAATTTGCCAATTTTACATGCTTCAGTCTCCATCCCTCAAGAATCCAGCATGCAGTTCAATCCCCCAGCACCACATGCCAGCCAGCCCCGCCCCCTG